TATGCCTTATAAACTAACGGTTTTTGAACACTTTTTTCGAGTTATTATATTTTTTATTTTATGCATTACTTTTCCAACGATTTTTCTAAATTCATACTCSGAAAATCTGCTAAATAACTGTATTTAACGATTTGCAGTAGTACACATGCGCTGATTCTTTAAACATTATTATTGTTTTCGTGTTTCTTGTTATCCGTTCGAAATCTGTATTAGACAGCTAAAAGTTAGAAATGATAAATTCAAAAGAAATATTTCTAAACAATTCTTACGAAAACGAATGTGTTTTCTTAAACAAATACAAATTTCTCATAAGTATATCGTCACCTAAAATGCAAAATAACTAATCATCGAAAAATTCGAAATTAAGTATTTATTGATTACGATTTACTAATTCTAATTACATCAAAAATATGACATTTGTCCCACACTTTCAGGTTCTGCGCCCAAATATAAACCAGTTTTAACCAATTTTACATTTTTTTTCACTCTTGTTCCATTTAATTTCGTGTTTCATTTACGCCACTGTAAATTTTCGAAAATGTTGTTACGTTATTTTGCATTTTAGGTGCCGATATGTAATTATTGCAAAAAAAAAAAAAAAAAAAAAAATAAAAAGAAAAACAACAAAAAAAAAAAAAAAAAAAAAAAAAAAAAAAACAAAAAAAAAAAACAAAAATTATGAACTTCGAAAAACATTCCGAAATTTCGAACTTCGAAAAAAACATTCCAACTGTACTTAATGCGGTATTATTTTATATATTTCTAAATTTCGCTCCCAAATAAAGAGTATTTTTGTCAAATATTATGTTACACGTAAATTACATACACRCATACTACATCCACACATGCAATGTTATGAATATAATTTAATTAAGTAGTAGTGATTTAAGCGTAAAATTAATATAAAACATGAATATTCTAAAAGAAGCAACACCCTTAACATTATTATTATTATTATTATTATTACTAGAAACAAGATGAACAAAGCAAAAAAAGAAAAATAACAAAATCACAAAACTTAATGATAAACCAAACTTGAAATCAAAGTTTAGTGCGCAGTGCAAGGGCAACTTTTAATGTTTCGATTAAGCTAAGACATAAAAAATACATAATTACAATTACAGACATACTCTTATGCTAACAACTCGATAATTAAGTTCGAAAAATAATTCTAAAACCGATAATAGTTAAAAGTAAACTGTGAATTTCAACACTCACATACATACATACATGTATGCTTTTATTTTTGTTTTTGTTAAACAATGTGTTTGTGTGTGCACCATACTACCTAGAAGATGAGGAAATTTGTGAGCACCAGTTGTCAACGTTATTATTTGAGACTTTTGCCAGCGGAAGGAGGTGAAATCGAAATGTAATAATGTCACATTTATGCAAGTCATAGACATACATACATACATAGAGGAGGTGTGTAGCTCAAAAAATTTTTAGCCCCCACAAAAGGGTTATGTGCTTTTAAAACTGTTTGTTTTTATTTCAAATTTAATTTTTTTTAACTTTGAAAA